AGCATGACATCACATGGTATGGGATATCCCTGGGGTCAGCTGGGGTCAGCTGTCCCGGCTGTGTCGTGGCTCCCAACTTCTTGTGCCCCCCCAGCCTGCTCGCTGGTGGGGTGGGGAGAGAAGCAGAAAAGGCCTTGACTCTGTGTAAGCCCTGCTCAGCAGTAACGAAAACATCCCTGTGCTATCAACACTGTTTTCAGCACAAATCCAAAACATAGCCCCATGCTAGCTACTAAGAAGAAAATTAACTCTATCCCAGCCAAAACCAGCAAAAATGCCGTAAGAAAAGTCACCTTAGAGCTTTATACCTGAATTCCATCGAGAAAATCCCAGAAGGAGGTGTAGCACCAGAGCACGGTTATAGTTAATGGGCTCCTTGCACCAGCAAGAGTTCAACAAACAAATCTCATGTCTTTTGGATCTGCTGAGGATTGAGCGGTTGGGAAATGCAGTACTGGTAGCCGGTAAACATCTCATCCTGCCCAGTATTAGCATTTACTAAGGTTCTTGGGGATTTTTTATCCCCAGAAATCTCTGGGTATTTTCCAAGCTATGCTCAAATAGAAGCAGAAATCAGTGGGCTTTAACTTAGTCTGGGTTGCAGAATTTGGCTGTGATCACAGTGGTCCCCCTCTGGTCTTTGACCCTGCATTCAGTGCAACTTCTTGCACGTGAAACAGGGAACTCTTCAGGTTGGAAGAGTGGAATAAGCTGTACCTTTGACTTTCCCTGCACTGAGCTCTCGATGTCGTCTGGCTTGACCCTGCATTTCCAGCCCTAGGTTTTGCCAAAGCAGTGTTGGACCCCAGGGGAGGTGGGGCTGAGTCGTCAGCTCTGTCCCAGTGAGGCTGTCACCCGTGGTGCTTTATATGGAGAAGGAACAAGCAGAGATAAAAAGGCCTTTCTGCCTTTAGTGCGTAGCGTAGCTGGATTTCTTGAGGGGAAAAAAACAACACAACAGGTTACTTCTGTTGGATGTTCCCTTGCTCTTAAGTAAGCGTAAATCTACTGTAAAATCCAAAATCTTAACTCCTTTTCCAGTGCGGTGCAGTGGGTTCAGCCTGGCTAGCGCAGGGTAGCCTGTGGCGGCATGAGGGCAGTCAGCACGTCTCTGCTGGGAGTGGAGAGGAGGACACAGTAGCCTTTAAACGGCTCTAACAAGTGCGGGTGCTCCTCAGAAGGTGCCTGTTGCCTGTTCCCCTTAAAAACAGTGCAAAAACTGAACCCTGGACTAGATCCTGGTTGTTTCTCCCACTGATGTGGCTGCTTGTGTCTTGCAGAACGTGGAGATGCTCAGCAGTCTGGACTCTGCCTCCGTTCGAATCATCAAGCCCTTCCCTGCGGCACAGTCGACAAGCCGGCACCAGCCGCTGCAGCCCATCACAGCTGTGCCTGCTGTCGCTGCGGCACCGAAACAGGACCACCAAAGAATGGACACTATTCAGGAGGACCCAAGCACTGACTCTCACATTGACGAGGACGGGTTTGAGAAGGACCCTTTCCCAAATAGCAGCTCGGCTGCCAAATCGTTTGAGGACTTGACAGACCATCCTGTCATTAGGAGTGAGAAAGCTTCGTCCTTTAAACTACAGCGCCAGAACCGGGTGGACAGCAAAGAAACAGAATGCTAGTGTCTTGCTGCCTTCTAAATGTATGACTTGTGTCTGCAAAATAAGGATCTAAAACCATTTCATTTATATAAATATAAATATATGTATATATATTTTTGTGAGGGAGTGGGAGAAATAAGGAAGTGACCTACTGCAGATGCTGGTCATGTGTATGACCTTCCTTAAATTACGTTTATTAGAGCATTATATCTTTTAAAAAGGAAAATCCAAACTAAAACTGGCTTGTTTTTGAAGCTTTTTGGATTTGTTTTTCCATTTCCTTGACCTTTAACATTTCCTTCAACCTGTGGTGCAAAACCAAATATCCTGCTGGATATTGGATTGTGTATATCGGCCTTTTTTATAATTTAATATTTTGTAGTCTGACAGCACTGATAGACAAAATTAAGGGGCTTTTAAAAACAAAATGAAAACACTGCAGTATGTTCCATATAGAGTAGATCATTTAGCAATTTAAGGTACATGTAAGCAACAGCCTAAACAGATGCTTCGAGAACAGAATGAGGGTAATGAAACAGACAAAAATACAGTCTTGCAGCATTAAATGAAGATGCATAATTGGAATCAAGAAGCTTAAGATACACAGCTTCGAAATAAATAAAAATAAAAGGGTCCTGCAGAGACTGTTAAACCTTACGCGATGCACGGAAGTGCTCCTCTAGCATGAAACTGTTTTGCCTCTTATGGTGAGGTTGTCTTGTCTTCGTGTCTCCATTGCAGAGAAAGGCTTTCGCTGGGAGTTTCCCACTCTGCACTGAGAGGCTTCTGTGTCGTAGGTGTCCGGTAAGAGAAAGAAGCGTAAGTGGAGAAATCATTTATGCGGATGAGGACTCTTAACCAGCTGTTTACAGCGGTGGTTTCGGTGCAGAGATGTTTCTCCGAATGTTATTTTGAAATAGGTAACACTATTGTTGAGGTGTTCAAAGAGCTGAGCCTCAGTTTTCTGTGGTCTGGGTGGCCTTTCGAAGCTCCTACTGCATAAACGGGGGGGAAAATTCACTCCATTGCAGGGGGGGCATTTGTTTAAAAACAATTGTGAATTTAATCAAAAAAGAAATAAACCTTTGTTAAACTTACAGGGCAAGTATAAGGAGGAGACTTCATGAATTCGGATTCCCACACAGATAAAACAATGTGATGTTAAAAGTTGGTAATTTAATGGCGTCCTCTAATTCGATACACCTGGAGATCTGTAAGGTGAGCTGGGACTGGTACCTGGGCCTTGTTTTAGCTTAGTAGCAGGTGGACTGACACAGTGGAGTCGCAGAGCGACTGCCGTGATAGCGAAGCAGCGTCTTAATTCTGCATCTGTTTTCTCCCATAATAATCTGTTGATAAAACTGACATAAAATGTGACCAATGGTAGAACCATTTTAACTGCTACAAGCCTGCGCTCAGCCACAGGGGAACCGCAGCTGCGGAAAGCCTTTGTGTTTTTAAATGTGAGGGAAAGGAACCAAACCTGTGCCGAAAGGATTGTGGGAGTACCCCCATCTCCTCCTGCCCCAAGGATACTTGTTACACTAATACTTGAACGTGTGCCTTACGGTATTTCTATCTGACTAGCTATTGTGTTTTATATACTGGATTTGAACTTTTTGGGGTTGTTTTTTTTGTTTGGGTTTTCTTTTTTTGATTCAGTGCAAAGTACATGTGTGAGGAGTTAATTTAATTCCCAATACAATAAAAGCTTTTTATATTAAAAAAAATAATAATCAGTTAAAGAAGAGCTGTTGCTGTGCCGTCCTTCATTAGTTGTCAAACCCTGAGTTGAAAGTCTGGGGTGCAGCCAGACTTGAGCCACTTACTTCTCACTGCTCCCCTCTGCTGCGGAGGTCAGACCCTGAGCAGCCACAGTACAGATCTGCACCTGTAGGGCTGTCCTGCGTCCCACCGGGGAGGGAGTTAGTCTCACCATCTGTCCTGTGGATTATCATGGAGTCATAGAATTGTTTAGCCCGGAAAAGACCTTTAAGATCATCAAGTCCAACCGTTAACCTAGTGCTGCCAAGTCCACCACTAAACCATGTCCCTAAGCACTATGTCTACACGTCTTTTAAATACCTCCAGGGATGGGGACTCAACCACTTCCCTGGGCAGCCTGTTCTAATGCCTGACAACCCTTTCGGTGAAAAAAATGTTCCTAATATCCACTCTAAACCTCCCTTGGTGCAACTGGAGGCCATTTCCTCTGGTCCTGTTGCTTGTTACTTGGGAGAAGAGACCAACACCCACCGCGCTACAACCTCCTTTCAGGTAGTTGTAGAGAGCAATGAGGTCTCCCCTCAGCCTCCTTTTCTCCAGGCTAAACAACCCCAGTTCCCTCAGCCGATCCTCATAGAACTTGTGCTCTAGACCCTTCACCAGCTTTGTATGGTCAGTTCTGGCAATGAAATTCATATCTAAGGCATGGGTGTGTGCTCAAATGCCTTTTTAGGTAGTAAATGTGTAAGTACGTGTTCTCAGCACTAAGGTCATTACTTCCCAGGTGAAAACCAGGCAGTGGCAAGCACCTGGGAGCATGAAAATAGAGGTTTGGAGCAGGCCTTGGCTATCACAGAATCTGTCCCCCAATCTGAGCCGTATTCCAGAAACTCTGAAATCTGTACTTGCACCATTTGTTTGTAACATCTAACGCAGGAAGATCTGCAGCTTCCACAGGGAGCCCCTTCCGCTGTTCAGCCAGCGCTTACTGTAAGTATTTATTACAGAAAGGACAGTCCAGTTTAATATTCGTAAATATTTATAAATCTAACTTCTGGTCTAGCTCCAGGCATGTGAAAAATAACTACTTACACTCCAGTTTATAACACCATTACATAGTAGGTGACAGGTCTTGGCCAACTTGTCTCAGTTATTTAGTGAAGCAAAGGCAGCCTCACGGCGCTAACAAAGCAGGACATCTTGATGCTCTCATCAATCTCTGTCTCACCCAATGCATAATAAACACGTCACCCGAGGCCGCACTATTGGCCTCATCTGTCTTGTGCCAATGTAACTGGTAATGCAGCCCAGAATTACGTGGGGGCTTTTAGCTGCAGTGATATACTATTTCTCTTTAATCCATGGTCCAGTAGTAGTCTCATTTCTTCTGCTGTCTGGCTGCTAGCCAATTATTTTCCAAACCACATTTTTTTCCATGCTTGTTGAATTTCATCTAGGTTTCAGGCAATTTTTTTTATCTAGGTTTTCAGGCAATTTTTTTTTGGTTTGTAAAGGTAGTTTCGTAGTTTAATTGTGTTCTCTTAGCCAAAAACTATACATAGTATGCAGTACTCATCAGCTATAAATTGTAGCTATAAAAAACTATACATAGTATGCAGTACTCATCTGTTACATCAGTTGTTAAATTATGAAGGCCAAAGCTCACTTGAAATGCCTCCTTTATTTGATGGCAAATTATGTATGACACAGCTTTGTCAGCAGAGATGCAGACCCCTTCTAGTGGTTTCTTCAAGATCCAAGCTTCTCAAAATGAGCACGTCCATCACCAGTTTTATGCTGCCCAAAACCATGCACTGTTTTGAAATCTGTGTCTATAGGCAAGAAGCTGCTGCTGGTGCCAAAATAAGTCAAACTTTAAAACCCCTGCTCTGAACTACAACACATCACTATCAAAATCCTTGCTAAAGCTCAGATAACTGCTTCTACTGCTGTATTACAACCAAAAAAATTAATCTGGATTGACACTAATGGCTCTTGACAAACTCCACGCTGCTGTCTCTTATCGGCTCCTAGGTGTTTAAAGCTAGTAGATGGTATTAGAAGGTGTAGTCCCCAAAGCTCAGCTAGGCCAGGAATTCCTCTGGGCAGCCTCTGTCCCTTGGTCACAGGGCAGCCGAGACTCTCGCTTTCCTCCAAGTCGTCCAAGGAAAGAGGAGCTCATCCCACAGATGTTCAAACTACCGGCACAAGCAGAATGCAGACAAACCACCCCAAGACACACCTGAGTGGTCTCATCTTTATTCTCCCACAGACCAAGGGAAGGGGATACGGAAGAGAAGAGTATCGGCAGGGGACTCCTCAGCACGCGGTTCCCCAAGTATGCAATGTTTGCAGCGGGTTGCTGGATACCGGCTGTTTGTAAACAGACTGGCTTTGCCAGGCTTGGCTGCTTCGGCTCGTTACTGCAGGGGATCTCACAGAAGACTGGCCTCGGGGTTCGTATGGTCCACGTCACGCCAATAAGGAAGCAGTGAAGGAAGAGCAGACAGTTTTTTTTCCAGGCACGACCAAAGTTGTGCTGCTAGAAAGCTGTTGCCTTTTGTTGATAAATGGAGCCCATCAGACAAATAGGAAGAGAAATCCTACAAGGGAGGTTAAAACCGTGTATTAATGTGTTTGCTAGTTGCAAATAGAAGCTCTTGAGTAATTTTTAAGTAAGCAAGTTCTTCAAAGCCAGCTGGTATATATACTGGTTTTATTTTTCACCATTTGTATTAAAATATTAAGAGAATGTTCTGATGGCCAAAGTCACTGCTGTTCATCAGGAAAAGATCACGAGATTAAGTGATGCAATCAAAATACTGAGTCTACTGCACTACTGAACAATCATCTACTGCACCAGGGAGTGCAGGAGAGTGAAAAGATCCAGTGTCTGAACTGGAGTTACCTGCTTACGGAAAGTCTGCAATCTCTGTCACAGGGACGAGTTTGGGTATTCGGTCAGAAGTGGCAGCAAGCTACCCGTGCAACCTGATCTAACTTTGAAGTTAGCCCAACGCTGCGCAGGAGGTTGGACTAGGTGCCTCCAGAGGCCCCTTCCACGATTCAAAGTCCAAGGAAAAGGTTATTTACATGTAATGCACCCAGGGGACATTTGCTAACCAAATATAACGGTTACCTTGTATTAAGCTTTATTTCTCCCAGCCCGGTATGAAGCATTCTGGATTACTTTTTTCGTTCCCCAAAATGTGATTTGGATATATTTTGTATCATTTCAGTGATAATGCAGCACTACAGGTTCCTCTATGCTAAATTATGCAATTTCACAATTTATTTCACAATTCATGACAGTTTCAAAGTCTTTCTCATGACATCGTACCTGATTTTTTTGCATCAGTGTCCAGAGGTCAAGTACATCCGTTCCACAGTCCCTAGCTACTTGAACACAGGCCTGGGCGTATTCCCCAGTGGTGGCATTGCGGCGATTTAATTTGTCACCTATCAGACACAAAGAAAACATTCAGCAATCATGACTGACAGCTTGATTTCTGTCTTCTGTGGCACATATGATGCGTATCAGTTTGTCACACCAGCGGACATAACCAATTACAAACCCAATCCGAAGCACCTCAATTTAAGTAGCTGGCAGCTATAGCTCGTTTAGTCTCTTTCAGGGCACCTTTTCTTTTTGAGGCATTTGAAAGTATGTTTCTTGTTAACAGATGTGTAACAGGCGAGAGGGCAACGGCAACGGGCACACAGCATAATGCTCATTTCTGTGCTGCTCACAGCTTTCGCTTTCTGTCAAGCTTCAGGTGAAATCAGTGCATAGGTTTAAAACTCTTCATACACCTGCTACCAGCACATAGAATAGAGTTAAGTAAATGCCAATCTATTTACAAGCTTGCCTTCCGCCTCCTGGATGACATCAGACATTCAACATCTCCATACAGCAGTCTCCTCATTGTAACATGCTGGTGAAACTGGGGTACATTTAGGTGCAAAGCTTTATTAGCACTCGTGACTACTGCATTTGTGCACACAGTTACACTGGGAGCTGGGTGTTCAGTACGCGCTCAGTGCCAGCTACTGTAAGCCAGCAGTTTTGCACGGACCACAGTGAAACTTTGGGGCAAGATATTATTAAGTTATGTTGTTCAGGTTTTTTTAATGGGACCTATAATGCAATTCATCAACTCCTACTCTACTCCCTCCTTGCATCTGATGCTTCCCACTTCTTCACACTGCCACCTCTTTCCTCCCATCATTTCTTTTCATCATAAAAATATCCTCTGCAGCCTCACCGGTCCTTCCCCACCACGGTAGGTTTCCGAACTCTAGCTTCAACTTTCTTCCTGGTTCAACTCTCCCGTAGACTAAGCGGCCCTTCAGCTCATTCAGCGTCCACCACGCAGAGCTCCCTTTGCTGCCAAGTTCCCTGTATTGATCACAACCTCACCTCCCCAGGTGAGGTCCCGCAGTCCTGTCCTTTTCCCTTTCTATGACTTCTAATCTAGCAGAGTTGATAATTTCTTATTCTCCCTTTGCCTTTTCTTTCATCGTTACGATTACTTCTCAACTGCTTCATCTCCTCTTCCATTCTGGAAGCACACAAGCACATGCCTGCTCTCAGTGTGCAGCCCTGCAGGAACATGCGCTGGGTCTATAAGCTAAGAGCAGCAGCCAAAGGAAGCTCAGGGAACATGGGGGGCCCCCGAGGGATCGAGGAGGCAACCTAGTGATTTACCCTGACCTCTGCATGTTCCCACTCAGCTTGGGAAGGAGGACAGCCAACAGTGGGGAGCAATGGGTTAGGGGACACTCAGGGATGCCAGATGCATCTGCGTGCGTGGGATTCACCTGAAGGAGCTGCCTGTTGCATTGGCGAGGCCAATGCCTACCACCTACAAAAACTCATGGCTAACGGGAGACTCACGGTGACCGAAGAGGGTTAACATTACACCCGTTTTTAAGAAAGGCAAGAAAAAGGACCTGGGGAACTGTCAATCACTTGGCCTCACCTCAGTGCTGGGAAAGATAGTGGAGTTACCTCCTCTTGGGATTCATTTCCAAACGCAGGAAGGACAAGAAGGAACTATCAACACAAGTTTAGCAAAGCCAGATAGTGCTTGACCAACCCAATTGCCTTCTGCGATGAAATGATGGCTATACAGATGACGAAGAGCAGCTCTGAGTTTGGTAAGGGCTTTGACCCCGTCTCCCACAGCACTCTCATTTGGAAGCGGAGTTTCTTTTCATGCCTCTTTTCACATCTGGATGAATGTTCCTGTGAACATCCTCCTCATCATCATGTTTCACATCTCTCCTTTGCTCCGATATCTATCCGACAAAACCACAAATAAGCAGAACATTTCTCCTGGATACTGGTTGAGGGCAGATGATCTGATACTGCTGCTTACTGTGCCCACAATACTTTATTTGTGGTCCATGGTCTGAGATCACCCTGTCTTTTGTTCCATCCTTGGACAGCAATCTCTTTCAGACAGATGCTGGCAGAGTCAACACTGTAAATGCAAGTTTCCTCCCTCCCTACCCTGTAAAAAGGACAGCTTTAAGACGAAAATGAAGTAACAACATTTTAAAAGTGTTACTTGACAGCTAGGAGCCAGAGAAGCAGTGTTCATGGTGTGCTCACCTAACAGATCTTCAACAGGACAATACGGGTGCATGTTCTGCAAACTGCGGCTGTAGCAGCTTTAGTGAGAGCTGGGCACACACACCAGGAAAGGCTGCTCTGCGCCTGACCGATCCCTTACGCCTTGTCTGAGGATCTACTACTGTCACATACACAGTACTGGCCATGTCTGATGCTTGATCTGACCTGCTACAGCTGCTACCATCTTACACGATTTGTGAGTATTACTCTAGGACTTTTCTCTCCTTTTCCAACTACATATAAAATATAAAAACTACCCTGCTGGATGAGACTGAAAGCCCATGTAGTCCAAAATCTGTTTTGCACAGTGATCACTGCCACACACCAGAGATCCCTAATGGAAAGTCATGCAATAACATAGTCTAATTTAATGCAGTTTAAACATGAGGTCATCTTCAAAGTGTTACCGCTTTGATTGAGTACACAACTCAGGATATGCAATACCACCTAAATTTGAGAAAACCTTGCAAATACTAAGGTGACAGCTCTGCGTTTACCTGAATCTAACTCAAAAGTCTTTTATAAATGTGCAAGAACTGGACAAGCTGTCCAAATGGAAAAGAGGACACACTCTCAGGAGGTATAATTTGTTGCTGCTGGAGTCAGTGGGATTATGGCAATTTCCACCAGCTGAGTGACACGAAGTAAGCAGTGCTGTTATGTCTCTATTTTTAGTTAGCTTGAACAACGTAATGAGAAGTCATTTAATCACCTTTTGCTTCTTTTTTAGGTACTTTTATTAGCATCCTTAGAATATTATATTCTCTGGGTTTTTTTTAATTTAAAATAAAGCTGGCTAGGATATTACTGCTTATCTAAACAGATGTGAAATATGCTGTGACTATTATAAAATTTTCTAAGGCACGCAATGCCGAAATTTCTTCCATTATTCATGTTAATTTGGAAGCTGCTAGGACATGACGTAGTCTGCCTAGGACATCTCAGCAAAACCTATGTTCTCAAAGGGCAGCCACTTCTGTCAGCTTCATGCACAAACAGATCAATCAACACTTTCAAAAGGATGTTACTAATTAGTTGGTAGTTACTCCACGAGCTTATCCAAAAGCTGTTTAGCAAAACAGCTGGCAGTCCTTTTCCACCAACTCAAAGAACACGACTGCAATCTGGTACAAGCACAAAGCTACTCATCTGTCAGCCTGGGATCAGCAACTTACACTGATGGTAAAATGCAGAAAGTCTGCCCATCCATGCTTTTACCTTTGGCAGAAAGTCTGCCCATCCATGCTTTTACCTTTGGCAAGACACTCCTTTTCCCAAGCTGATTCCTGAAGAGGTGGTGGCGTTATCAAAATAATCCTGTCTTCAGTAATGTCTACTGACTTCAGATACTGTATCATGCTCTTTAAGTTCGCAGCATATTCCTCCAAAGGAACGTGTTGCTTAGGGTTCAGATCTGTTAGGAGATGGAGCACATGCATTAGCGATGTTAAACTGCTTACAGGTTTACTACTCAACGTGCTTTTTACACAGCGTATGAATGTGGGCACTCATTCTCAGTAAGCAGTTCACCTCAACCTTGATTCAGGAGGTGTCGTGGGGAGAATTCCGTTCCTCAATATCCAAAGCAGACAAATCAAGAGTTTAAACGCAGTGCTTCCAACTAATACAAATGAGGGACGGGGGAAAAGAAATCACCTTTTTTTTCAAAGATGCTTTGTCTTGCAACTCCATATCTTAGTATTAGATCACATAATCACCTCAAACTTCACCTGAAACAAAAGCTAAGATTTTTTCACTCTCTTGGATGCAGAGAAAAACTTCAAAATTCTCATGGACGTAGAGACAGTCCTTCGTGCACTGAGGTTATCATTTTGATTAGACTAGCTCTGCATGCTGCTATGCTTATCTTAAAGAGAATCCAAATGCTACCTTCCCTCATTTCCTCAACCCATCTGCTAAGAACCCATCAGACTGCTTTAAAGGCAGGAAAATCAGTTAGATGCCCAACTCCAATTTTAGGTGATGGATATATGACTAATTCTTGAGCACCTTGAAATTTAATATTAAAACTTGGTGAGAGGGAGAGAAATAGAAGGCACTGCATGGTTTAAATACAAATAAAATGACTGAAAACAATCCACTGTAAAACTGAAAAAAGGGCAACCGCTTCATAGAGAAGTGGCAGGAAAGGTCTGTGTGATGTTCTGCCTTTTCTGCTAAACTGTAAAACTGTCTTAAGAAAACAGGTCACAGAAAAAAAAAAAAGTAAAATACCTTACCTTTCAAAGCACTGTCATTGGCTCCAAAGAAAATAGTAACCGCAACGGTACTCTCAGCACCAGTACTTTTACTGATCAGTCTTGGAAGGATCAGTTTAGCCCATCTGGTGTTGTACCCTGAGAGCCCACGGTTCACAACATCACATTTTCTGAAACAAAGACACATATCAAAAAGAACACCTCTCCTCTGCCCACCAGAACAAAACTTGGCAAGTTTTGAACCATTCTGTCAGGACACCTGCCTCCGTCCCTCTCAGAAACGACAAGATGTCACAGGAGTTTTCAGTGGGATTATAACTTTATGTTTTGAAAATGTACCCACAGATTGCATGTGTACTATTCACCTGTCACTTAAACTATGAAACTAGAACAACAATCTTGACAATCACTAAGGATTTTTTTTTCTTTCCACTCAAGCTTTTAGTGGACAGAAACACCCAATGAGTATTTCTACCAGTATTGGGCAGGTTACCACTAAGGCAGTTCCACTTCAATAAATAAATGAATGTTAATTAATAAATACACATTAAGTATTAACTTGCATTGGTTTTCTTTTAGAAAAGCTGCACGACTTTTTGCATGCTAGAAATTACTTTTGGAATTTAAGCTCTTACCTGGCCAGTCTCTCAGCAAGGGATGCCCCCCAGCCATTTTCCTGGAAGGAAAACTGAAAGCAAGGAACACGGTTAGACCCTCACTGGAAGAACTTGCTCCCCAGCAGGTCAGTCCCACCACCGGCACCTTCCCTCCTCAAAAGCTGTTCGTGCGTGGCCTCTCACACTGCTGCAGCAGTGCTTCCTCCCTCCCAGCCTGCCCGGTCCCTGCAGAGGTGAAACAGCCCTGATCTTACCTAGATACATGACTGGCAATCAGAGGCAACGTGGGACCACACCTACAGAGGGACAGACCCTGTGGACCCTTTGTAATCAAAACGGACTGTTGTCAAGCTGTAGTTTCATTTTGGCTGGTGAGGCTTGCTTTTTTTTTTTTCTTCCCCTTTTCCATTTTCTACTTTATTTCTAAGATCCTTTCACTACCATCATTCTGAAGACATCATTCTCCCAAAAATCCTCTCTCCACATGCCGCTTCAGAGTACAGTTTGATACCTACCTCTTCTAGGAGTGGAAAAATTAATCCCTTCTCCTTATTTCCACTGCTGCACCATCCTCCCTGTTACAATGCTCCGCCTGTTTACAGAGCTGCACAGTGAGTTGGTTTAGACAACCGATCTCCCATTAAAGATAACCTTTGTCTTCAGCCAAATCTTTTTTCATCAGAGCAGCTCTGTGACCCACTCCACCATGCAACCCATGCAACAGAAGGCAGGGACACAAAATGAACGCTAAAAAGCTGGTATTGCCTCAAAGGAGATGTTCACCAAGCCACGGTCCGGTCACGTCGACGTGTAACGTGTCTCTGGGGCAGGCAAGCTCAACACAGGGAGCTGCACTGAAGAGACGCACCAGGAGCCAGGACTGGGAGGAGGGCAGGGGTCAGTACAGACAACAGGCTGTCCTCCCCGTCTGGAAAATGCCACTGCTGCCGAAATACCAGAAGCTACACTTATACCAGATCACACTTCTAACACAGCAACTTTGGCTTTCTGCCAAATGGCTCTAAATCTCATAAAGGACCATCAGGTGCGAAAGCATGTGGAACGCTCTCACTGGAGATCCAACAGGGACATAACTATACCAGGCCACACTCCCATTTCACTGCTCTCCTTCCTGCCTCATGGTGCCAGGCCGATCCCCACCACCCGCCAGGCCTCTGTCAAAGCCGTCCCAAGGGGATGGCTTCCCCCTGGCTGCCTCGCCACAGGTTGCCATGGCGGCTTGCCCGGCAGAGCGGGCAGGCGGCAGCCCCTGAGGAGAGCGGCTCACGGGGGTCACCACGATCCCACCTGACACGCTTCTCCTACGCCAGCTGAGGTGGGGACCGGCTGGCGAGGCGAGGCTGGAGGCCACGGTGCCCCACACTAGGATACACGCCTCCCCTCCTGCTGCAGCCGCCGGCTGTTCGTTAAAAATTAATAATAAGCAAAGCCCTGTGCTTGGCACAGGCGCTCAGTCTAACGCCAGGCCGCTGCTGGCGCAGCGTTCAAGGAAAACCAGAGCGCAGACCGCGGGCTGCCGCTCCCGGTACGAGGAACTGGGCTGTTGA